AGAGAGAGAGAGAGAGAGAGAGAGAGCATGGCGTAACGAGTTGGGTTGATAACGAATTGCTATATAATAAGTTGCGTCTTTATAATGAGTTGCGTTTGGTTTCACGAGAGAATCGCGAAAGGAGAGAACGAGATTAACGAAGTAAGTAGCGTTTCATGTAAAAGAGATTCCTTCGGATAAATAAATCCTGTTGTATCTTACATCTCAGAAGTGGGATAACCTCGCTGTGGGCTCGTTCATTGACACCGAGCGCTAGAAAGCACGATCGAAAGGACAAGGAAAGACGAAACCGTTCGCACGAACGACACAGTCGCGATCGAGAGGAACGGAACGACGACAGAGAATCGATTGAGAAACGGCGACATCGGCACAGTCGTCGTGAACAACGTGATCGCGGCGAGAGCAAAAGCGATAGCCGCAGTTGCAGCCTCGGACAACGCAGAGGCAAATGCAGTGATTGGGATCATCGTCGAGAGGAGCGTACACCGAGCGTAAGCGACGAAACCATTGATCATGCGAAGCGAAACGCTAGCGGCGATGATCGCGATACGAGATTCTTTTTCAGTGAATTAATAAAGACAATCAATAATCGCCCGGAGGGAAACAAGTTTCCTATGTTAGGTAATGTAATACCCGAATTTGATCCTATGAGCAAAACCGTTCATAATTGGTTAAATAAAGTAGAAGAGTGTGCTAAAATGTATAAATGGGACAGTGACCAGATAATTCATTATGCTATGCCTAAGCTCGGTGGGGTAGCCAAAACGAGGTACCAATTCTTACCGACGATGCCGTTCTCGTGGTTAGAATGAAAGGGTTGTGGGGTATTTTATTGGAATAGACTTTTTCCTCGAAGTATAGAATATTGCATATTTTGATGGAACGTGTAATGATCGGCGCACATCCGGAGGTCCCGGCCCTCTAACGGCGTCGGTTCGAAATAAATTTTTTTTTTCCTAAGTCCACCCGTTGAAATATCGGAAAAAAAACTAGCAGTCAATAGATATGCGATCGAAGAACTCATTTTCAAAATATAAATTTTTTTTTCTGTTAATAACAAAGGTCGAATAGATTCGGTTTCCTTCAACGGGTATCAAAGAGACAAACAAAACGGACAGGAAGCAGATCTCCTCATAACGGTGTGGTATGGGTGGCACCAAGTTGGACACGGCTCAATTGGACACGAGACACTCACAGCGCTTGAGATTACAAAGCTCCTAAGCACCGGTCGCTGTGATTGGTGGCGTCCAATCGAGCCGTGGTCAATCGGGATCACTCCATGCGGACAGGGCGTTTAAAGTCGGGGACGCTACCCCGTACTGGTACAGCGGAGACTGAGTCTCCTTTAAGGGATACCGGACCAACGTACACGAGGCAAGGAGCAAACCTTTTGACGATGCCGTAACACTGGGCGTTAGAAGTCGGGGAATTCCCTATAAGAACCGGCGCATCGGAGGTGCCCCTATATGGAGGGTACCTCCTAGGGACCCCGAGTGGCTCTTGCCCAATTGGTACTTGTGGAGACCTTGCAGCCGGAGGACATCCGCCTGCCAATCCGGATTCGGCCTCGGCATCGAGCACACGCGGGAGACCAAGCCTCGCAAGGACACACATAGTTAGTAAGTTGCGCTAATATAAAACGATAAAAACAAAAAAAAAATATATAGATATAAATGTATATACGTTTACCTAAACAATAAATATCTCGTTAGATGTAAGGTAGAAAAAGACCGCAACAATAGCGGAAATCCGAATAGTCGACTAGAATTTAGTTTTCCTTCTGTTAAGTTAGGGCGAGAGCCCGCCATAAACGGCTAAAAATAAAATCATTTATTTTGTTGGAGGCACATGGCCTTAAATGTTTCGGAAAAACCGAAACAGTAAAATTAAATGCGTCGTGAGTATACCAGATGACAATACGTAGTAGGGGCCGGAATTATAGAGTCCGCGAAATTGCCAATTAATAGAGAAGGAATCGCGGGATCCAAAAATGCGACAGATGTCTGGATACGACGCGGAACGAATACGGGAACTGAATATGGTCGGAAAACATGTACCGGGTGTGTTCGAAATCCTGTTAGGGCAAGAGAAACCGTAAAAGAGCGAGAAACGCGACCGCTACTGCGGCTTATAACACCTATTAGGAGCGGAATCACAAAATTTGAGCATACGGAACATACCGGGTGTATCCGAAATCCTGTTAAGGCATAAGAAATTGTAAGATAGCGAAAAACGCATTCGTTATAGTCAATAGGGCATGGAAAGCGACATGACCACTAAGTACGAACCCAATACATATACCGGGTGTCCGTGAAATTTCGTTAAGGCATCGAAGGGACCAATAGTCACAAATGTAAATATTGTATATAGATAGGGGGTGCAGCCGGGAAATCTCGCTAACCTGTAAATAAATTTTATTCTTACCTGTAACTCCAGCGGGAGAACACGAGCGGCAGCATCCTTCCAATACGGGGAGTACCTAAAAATAAAAGAAAAGTAGAGGATAAAAAAATTATAACTATAAAGTGCAGGGACAGAATCGAACGGCATAAATGATTAGGATAAGCGAGCGCCGTGAGCGCTTACAGCGCGTAAAGATACGTACAGATGCGAGAACGATGGAGGGGATAAGCGATAGAGATAAGAAGGCGAGCGTGGGAGCGCTCGAGGCAGTTGGCCAGCTGTAGAGAGGAGGTAGTAGGCAGTCAAGAGCCGAAGCAGAACGAAGCAGAAAAAGAGCGAACTACAATATGGCAGCAAGTAGTAGCTTATGTGTAGATTAGTGGAGCTCTCTTCGGAGCACTATCGGATTGCGTCGTCGCGGATCACTATCCGGAAATTTACCGAGTCGGCCGATGGTCATCCAGGAGTTGTAATTGGGAATATTTCAAGAGCGTACCGAACAACGGCATGAGCGTAATAGTGATCGGGGGTTTACCTCAGCGTTAATGGTCTAGCATTAAGTGAACAAGGGTGATGGACGAAAACCCAGACTGCGAGAATTGTGTGTAATGAGCGGCGGGCGGATCTGGCGCAATCTCCTAAAGCGGGGTTACACGGACAAATGTAAATGAGAGCAACAGAGAATTTATGAATAAACTAGCGTTGTTAGTTTCCTGAAATAGTGATTAATCATTTAATGAAAACCTCTCCCACTGCGACCGAGAAGAGCCGGAGTAAACCGGAGGAGTGGCGCAGGGTATAGGGGTTTTTTTTTTCCAAGTGCACATTTTGAGTTAGGATTTTTCTCGTATAGTAGGAGGCAAGGGGAACAACTTCCGGTAGG